CATGGCGCAAAATGCAGCTCACTACCAGCCCAGCTCAGAAATGGTAGCTGTGTCCATCCATGTTGTTGCAGCCGGTGGGTGGGATTTCCTTCTTGTGGCTGAAAAGAATTCACTGTATATACACTATACTAGAGGCCCGTTGCACAGAGATCTGTGCAATAGGCCTTCCTTCCCCTGCCTGTCAGCACCAGTTTTCCTCTGGCACCTGGGACCCAGGCCTTGGCTCTGGCCAGTGCCTTCAGTCTTAGCTCCTAGCTGAGCGCAGCTCCTGTAGCTCCCTCTGCCCCCACCATCCCCCTCATAGCAGGTGTCCCACCCCTCAGCGCCTGCATGCCTGCTGCCCAGAGGCCTGGAGCTGCTGGGGGGCAGGGCTGCGGCCATCTTTGTCAGGTTAATTTGCATACTCACTCCTGATTGGCTGGTGTGTGTCTCAAAGTGATGATTAATTTGCATATTTCTCTTTTCTTAGTGTAGATTTTCCTTATCTATTTACCTGCCCTGACACTGGTTGTTTCCCTAGCCTGGCTGTTGTGAATAGGCTGCAATGCAAACAAGGTACTGATATTGCTTCAAGATAGTGTTTCCATTTCCTTCAGCTAAATACCCAGATATGGGTTTTGCTGGATCATGTGGTAGTTCTATTTCTATTTTTTTGATAAACCTTCCTGCTGTTTTCTGGCATCACTTTACAGTCCCACCAACAGTGCCTGAAGGCTCCCTTTTCTCCACATCTCAGCAGCACTTGTTATATCTTGTCCTTTTGGTAATTTTAAATCAGAATGCAGTTTCTAGAAGCCAGCCAAGCTCACCCTTTTACTTAATCACCTGTGCCTTTCGAGGGGCATTTATGAAGCTCACGTGTGACAATTGGCATGGAAACATCCAAAGAGGCCCTGGAAGGGTTCCAGGTTTAATTCTGGTTGGGGCACATAAAGGCTCCATCCCCTGTGCAGGAGGCAGCTGATCAATGATTATCTCTTATCATTGAGGTTTCTATATTTCTCTTCCTCTCTGAAATCAATAAAAATATATTGAAAAACAAAACAAACCAAATATTCCAGGAGGTAACCAGACTGGAGTTGTTTACTTACAAGTTTTTTTCATTTATTTTTTTAAAAGTTTTCTGCTGGTTTATTTGTCAGTCAAGCAAGGAACTCCATTTACTGATGGTGAATTAATCAAATCATCTTTAATTACAGCAGCTGAAAAAATATGTCCAGGAAAAGACACATTTGTTTAAAACTGTTAGCCGTTTGGTGTGAATAGCTGCTCTAATAGTGGGGGACACTGAAAGCAATATCAATAGTCAATTAAACAAGAAGGCAAATGATGTTGAATGGTTTAGCTTAGCTCTTGACAGGTCAACAGATGTTATAGATACTGTATAGATTTTGATTGTTTGTGGTGTCAGTACTGAATTTAAAATGCCTAAAGGATGGTATTAATAGTCCAACTCACCCTACCACAAAGCAGTTCAATGGCTTAGCAGTGGTAAAGTTTTTATTGCAATTTTTTTCAGGTTGAGATTGAAACTTTTCTGGCAGAGAAGAACTTGCCTTCAACCTACCATTAATGAACACTAAGTAAATAGCTTTGGAAATTAGCTTTTGATGCAGACTTGATAATGTCCAATAAACTCAGCCTAAAATTACAAGACAATACAGTGCTCATAGGTGAAACTTACAGTATGGTAAAGTCATTTCGATGACAATTAAGGCTCATTCAATCACAAGTCACATCCAGTTGCTTTATTTTCTGAGCTTGAACTACAGTTCCAGCAGTTTTTTGAAACTTAATGCAAGTACAAAGGAATTTTCATATTTTGAAATTCATTTAATTGCAATATATGAGTTTCTACCTAATCTTGAAATTTGTTTATTTATTATTTATTTATTTATTTATTTATTTATTATTTTGGCTGGGTACAGTGAACTTTATTGATGGTGCATGACAAGTAGGGCTCCCTATGCTCCTCCCCTTCTTCAGAGGGTCTGGGATGGAAACGGTGGTCAGGAGATTCTCAGTGTGTTGGGATTGATCAGGGGCAGGGACTCCCCAGCAGCTGAGGGCCTCTCTTCCTCTCGCTGGGGCTTGTGGTCCAGAGGTTCTTACTGCATAGAGGCCATGGGAACCATGCGGTCCACCAACCTGTTGCTGTTGCCAAATTCAATGTCAGACCAGGGAATGAGTTTGAAAAAGTGGTCATTGAGGGCAACGCCAGCCCCAGCATCAAAGGTGGAGGGTGGGTGTCACTGTGAAAGTCGCAGGAGACAGCCTGGTCCTCAGCGTAGCCCAGGATGCCTGCTTCACTCCCTTCTTGGTGTCACATATTTGGCAGCTTTCTCCAGGCGGCAGGTCAGATCCACAACCGGTGGGGACACGGAAGGCCATGCCTGTGAGCTTCCCATTCAGCTCAGGGATGACTGTGCCCGCAGCCTTGGCAGCCCCTCGCCCATCACACCACAGCTTCCCAGAGGGGCCATCCAGGGTGGCGGTGATGGCATGGACGGTGGTCATGAGTCCCTTCATGATGCCTAAGTTGTCACGGATGACCTTGGCCAGGGGGCCAAGCAGTTGGTGGTGCAGGAGGCATTGCTGACAATCGTGAGGGGGTTGTCATACTTGTCATGGTTCACACCATCACAAACATGGGGCATCCGCAGAAGGGGCAGAGACGATGACCCTCTTGGCTCCGCCCTTCAAGTGAGCCCGGCCTTCTCCCTGGCAGTGAAGACACCAGTGGACTCCACCACATACTCAGCACCAGCATCACCCCATTTGATGTTGGTGGGATCTCGCTCCTGGAAGATGGAGATGGGCTTTCCAATGATGTCACATTGCAATGCTTGACTTCCTCTCCCTAGTGACTAGCCTCCTTGGAGTTTCTTCAGCCCAGGAACACGACTTGCTTTATAGCCAAGTGGAACATTTTACACTTTAACCAAGTGAAGTGTTTTCCCGTGCCTCATCTCATTTGATCCTCACAAAAATCCTGGAGTAAGTAGAAAGGAGACTTGGTGAAATCCTACTTTCTTTTCATTAGCTGGAAAACAGAGATTTAGAAAGTTTAGAAACTTGACCCTGCTGAAAAGAAGTAAGAAATGGTGGGCCTTGAAAATCACTTCAGGTTTTCTCACTGCACAGAATATAGTCAAACACTGCTGCAGTTAAATATTTTATCTTTGTTCTCCCTTCATGATCTATAATAATAATCTGCTTCATGTTGATATTTATTGCAGTGTTGCTGACAATTACCTGAAAGAAGTTAGAGTGCTTCACTGAGCTGGACAAAGTTTAGCTAAATCAGAAAGCAGGTCTTATTAAGCAAATTTATCTCTCTATATAAAATTCTGTCTGGCGCTAATCATGTGTTTCGATCTGTCATTGTCAATCATGAATTTGGTTGACACTTCTACTATAGAAAAAGGGTGAATAGTAATATTAAAAATTTTTTTTCTAATTAATTTTCCATCAATGTGCATGAATTCGTGCACCGGGCCACTAGTGTGATATAAAGGAGTGATGTGTGGCTTCCCTGGGCAATTCTGACTCTGGGGTCTCAGATGAAAGTTGTGTCTTCTTGGGGAAAGTGTTTGTTTGGGGCTCCTGCCCATTTTTTAATTGGATTGTTTACTTTTGTAGTTGAGTTGTATGGGTTCATTATATATTTTAGATGTTAGCTCCTTATAGGAGACATCGTTCACAAATATCTTCTCCCATTTAGTTGGCTGCCTTTTTCTTTTGATGATGGTTTCTTTTGCTGTGCAGAAGCTTTTTATTTTGATGTGGTCCCATTCATTTATTTTTGCTTTTACTTTCCTTGTCTTTGAGGTCAATTCATAAAATTCTCTTTGAGAAAAAGGCCCATAAATTTTCTTCCATGTATTTTGTTGTTTCAGGTTTTATATTTAGGTCTTTATCATGCTATGAGAAATAATTCAGACAGGAAAGAACAAGAATCATATTATTTTACTCATGTGGGAAATAAAAAAGGAAGCAACAAATGAAGCAACAAAACTAACAAACTCTTAGACACTGAGAACAGTATGGTAGTTACCGTAGGGAAAGGAGGATGTGGGGGCGGCGGAGGAGGGGGGGCTGAAGAGGGTAAAAGGGGGCCTAATATATGGTGATGGAAGGAGACTGGACTATGGGTGGTGAGCACACAATTCAATATACAGATGACGTATATACAGTTGGACACTGCAGCTTGTATATGTTATTAACCAATGTGACCTCAATAAATTTAATTTTTTTAAAATGGTGGTCTCCAGCTGGGGTTGCATCACCTGAAGGTCTGACTGGGGCTGCAGGGGCTGCTTCTACGGTGGCCCACTCACGGGCGGGAGGGGTGCTGGCTGTGGCAGGAAGCCCGTCCTCTGCCGAAGGCCCCTTTCCACGGTGCTGCAGGGGGTCCCTGGGCCACGGCGGCCGCCTCCTCCAGGGCAAGTGATTGAAGAGAGAGCAAAGTGGAAACTGTCATGTCTGTTGTCTGGAGTCTGGGAAGTCCCACACTGTCATTGTCTGTCATTGTCAGCTACTGTATCCTATTGATTACCAAGTCAGTCTTTGTCCTCATGGGAAGGACTACCTAGGATGTGAAGACCAGGAGGTGAAACTCATAGAAGGGGGCATCATGGAGCTTTGATAGGCCACCTACTAACTGTAATAGGATTGACTTAATATTGCCTACTTTTCACTAAAACTAGCTTTCTTCTAAATAATACCTATTAAATCCCAAGACTCAGGTGCTGTGTCTTTGTCAATACAAATGGACATAGAGTTATTGACTAAAAGGAACACTCTTGCACCATCTGTGCTCACCTGCATGCTTACAGTGACACAAACACCTCCCATCCCCCACCCCCGCGGGGAACAAAGGCGGACCACTGGAGGCTGGTGGCATCTTGGTGTTTGGCCATGCCTCCTGCTGTGCCCTGCTGTCTGCTTGGAACCCGAGGAATGCCGGTGCTGATGGGCCACTTGCTGTCTTCCTCCAGGACCGCCTGTACTTTGTGATGGAATACGTGAACGGCGGCGACCTCATGTACCACATCCAGCAGGTTGGCCGGTTCAAGGAGCCTCACGCTGTGTAAGTGAGGGCCCTCCTCTGCATTTCCCTGGGGACATGCGGTGGGTTGACAAGCTCGCCTAGGGTGTCTGCTAAGAACTCATGGCCCTTCACCAAGCCCCCAGGACTCCCTCAGGGCCCCATCCTGTCATTCCAGAGGCTGCTGTTTAGCTCAGCCCTGCCCTGACCTCCTCCCTGCCCAGGCTGTGACCACTATATGCTGGTAGAGTTGCATTCTTCTGCTTCCAAATCCTGCCACTCATATATTGTGGCACAATTGCCATGGCAGTGTGAGCTCAGGGTTGTCTCTCTTCTTCAACTTCTAGTAGTGGACTATAGGCCTTAATCCTATTCTCTCTCTCTCTCTCTCTCTCTCTCTCTCTCTCTCTCTGTCACACACACACACACACACACACACACACACGTGCCCGAAGCCCTGCCCAGCCCTGTGCTGTAACCGCCTTCAGTAAGTGCTCTCCCACCCTGGCCTACCATTTATCAGTTGTAGAACTTGGCCAAGTTATTTCATATCGCTGAGCCTCGGTTTTCTCAGTTAAGGAGCAGGACCCACCAAATTGTAGTTAAATTTGAAACAGATAATAACCCACAATGATGCGAGGTGAAGGGCCAGCCTTCCACAGATGGCAGCTGCTATTACTAAGCTGTTTTAACTTGGTGTGCTCTGAACCGACCCTTCTCCGACTAGTCCACCATATCCATGGCCTCCTCCCCACTAGGCAACTGCTGACCCTCTGCCCACCCCAGTGCATCCTCAGGGCGGCTTTCTACACCCTGCTCGCTCATCCACACCCGTACGTTGTTTTATGAGATGGGTGGCCGGCCATCTGTGACAGGCATTGATGTCCTACGCCCAGTTCAATGTTGTATGAAACTCTGAGAGCTGCCAAACACATGGTGTCCTTGAACTTCTCATGGCTTTTGTTTATTTCAGATTTTACGCTGCAGAAATCGCCATCGGCCTCTTCTTCTTACAGAGCAAGGGCATCATTTACCGGTACGTGAGCTGCGTGCTTCCCCGCGTGGCCTTCGCCCCTCCCTTCCCTGCCTCTTCTTTAACCGCTTTTAGAATCCGTTCCATGGTGGGGCGGAGTCCTCCCAGGCTGTGCTCCACCAGGCGGAGGCAGCATCGCCCACCGCCCTGGCAAAGCTCGGGCAGCTCCGTGCTGCCACAGACGTCCCTGCCCTCCGCCCCCAGGGCTGGTTTGCCCTGCAAACCCGAGGCCATTTGCTCTGAGAGGAGGCTCAGCAGTAGGCCCAGCACTTCCTTCTGCCTGGAGACCCCACAGTTGCACATTTGGGGAGCAAGCAAAGCATCTTGTTGGCAAGACGTGGAAGATCATATTATTTTGGAACAAGTTGTGTGTTTTGCTATGTAATCACAGTTTAGACATGGATTTCTAGTAGCTTCCCCTGGAAGACAGGATTAGGTTTGGGACTTGGCTTTTGCCCATGTTTGGGAGCAACTGTGTGTTCACAGCTGCATGAGTCAGACCATCTTACACTTCATGCGAGGCAGGCGGCAGAGCGGCTGCTGTCTGTCCGTGAGTCCGGGGTGTGCAGTTCTCACAACCACACAGACCACAGCGCACAGACAGTGCCGGCAGGGATGCTGCCACACAAGAGGAGCTGGCGGCGCAGGGCTTCCGGAGGGCACTTGCCACGTGTGGGGCCTATTGAATCCATTTCATTTATTCATTCGACAAACATTTTATCAAAATCCTGCCGAGCACTGTGGTGGGGGTACAGCTGTGAAAAATCAGGCCAAACCACCTGCTTTGTGGAACTGAGACTCTGGTGGTGGGAGGCGGGCGCGTGAACCAAAGCCGAGGCCACAGAGCAGCGGTGAGTGCTATGGAGGGAGAGCGAGCAGGGAGAGGGTCCTGTGTGCAGGGTGGGGTAGTGCCCGCTGTTCTGCAGACGGCGTGCGATGACGGTCTGAAGAGTTAGGGGGACTCAGAGGCCTGGACCTCTTAAAGCAACCGAAGGATCGGTACTAAAACGCGCACAGGGATCAGGCCCGGTGGTCTCCAGCAGATCGGGTGTGGCCCGTGGATGCTAATGGATGGAGGGATGGAAGGCGGGGCCTGACCAGAAGCCTGCAGATCCTGGCTTGCTGCTCAGGAAGTGGCGGCATGAAGTCTAGCTGTGGAGGGACGATCTCGTCCTGACTACACGGAGCCCCACACCCTTTACTCCCGGTGCCGGAGGGCGGTCAGAGAGGAGAGGCTGCAGCTGGCGCTCGGTGCTCTGGGGTAGGGGCAACAGGAATGAGGGGGTAATAGTGTGGACTGCAGGGAGTGTAGTCATCCCGCCATGCTCACCCTCACTGCCCACGCGCACCTGTGAAGCCTCGGATGCCCCGGGCCGTCCTGGCGCTGCATCTTGGTGTGCCGAAGGCAATGCTGGTGTTGCAGCTACACATCTTCTGTGACATGAGCCGCGAGTCGAAGCCAGTGACTCCCTGTGCCTACCCTGAGGCAGGGCTGGGTGACTGCTCCTCTGATTTTCTCCGTTCACGTGACCTCAGAGCCTCACCCTGTACAGCGCTCAGGCTGCTGGGGGATGGACCATGGGACTGCAGGTTTCTTAAAGAAAATTCTATTCCAGGGGAGGACCCCGAAGAGGAAATAAGAATCGTTGCCCACTGGGTTGGGATCAGGGTGAGGCTTCCAGTTGGGATCAGGGGTGCGGGAGACAGGACATGGCCATTCAGGGCGTAAATTCCCAAGGTCAGCATCTCGGCGCTCAGCATGCTTCACTCCAAAGCTCTTTCCCCTGAGTGCATGCTCCTCCAGGCTCCCTCAGCTGGTTTCAGGAGCCATTCATTATCCCTTTAAGCCACTTGGCATCTGCGCCCAGCATTTGTGTAGCAAGAGCCCACCTCCCACTGTGCAGATTTAAAATACAGATATTCTCTTAGTGTTCTCTTAGCGGGGTTCCCGCCCACACCCAGCCAGGCCAGGCACACAGCCCAGGCTCTGGCACTTGGCACGCTGGCCGAGACCTTGAATCAGAAGTTAATGGCCAAGGAAGCAGAGACTGGCCCTCAAAACTGACCACACCTAGTTCCAGGGCAAGCGGGGAAGTGGTTGTTAGTAACAACAAGCAGAGGGCAGCTCCAGGGCTCCATGGAAGGAGGGTGAGTCTGTGTGGGGGCAGCCTCAGGGTGAGCTCTTTCCTGCCAGCTCCATGCTGCATTTAGGCCTCCGTCCTGGGCCTCAGCCTCCTCAGGCTCCATGAGCTACCCATCCCCTTCAAAACATCTTCTTAGGTTCAAATAGAGTTTGCTTTTGTTGCTCACATGAAAGAATCTCAGTTAAGAGTTTTTGAAATTGGTAAATTAAAACTATAAAAACTACATGACAGCGCGTGTGGCTTCTTAATGTCCTTGAGATTGCCTTCATGGCGGCACAGTCTTTTCCAGTGTTACAAAGCTCCCTCCTTTACCTAGAGCCTAAGTGAAGAGGTGCGCAGGTATGTCAGACTTACCTCTCTGAGGACCGTGCTGGGGGTGTTGGGGCGGGGGGTGGGGGGGAGCCTTCCTGCCAAACTTAGAGTCAGATGAGGGTGTATCACGTTGAGCAAAAGAAGACTCCAACACCACGCCCGTGTGCAGCGAGCATCCTGGGGATCCTCCACCCTGAGGCCTGTGACTCCTGAGGCCCCTGTCCTGTAACATGAAGATCTTACCCCTTCAGCTACTTTTGTGGGGGCCTGGGGTCCAGAGGAGGGGGCTGTCATGGGTCCCTGGTGACCAGACATGTACACAGGTATCTCTAGGCGAAGTATGTTTCTGCAAAGCCCAATTTCCCTAAGTTCTTTTAAAAATATTTTATTGATTTTTTTTACAGAGAGGGTCAGAAAGTTACAAACATTGATGAGAGATAAACATTGATCAGCTGCCTCCTGCACCCTCCCCTCCCCCCAGTGGGGATGTGCCCGCAACCAAGGTACATGCCCTTGACCGGGATCAAACCTGGGACCTTTCAGTCCACAGGCCAATGCTCTATCCACTGAGCCAAACCGATTTTGGCGAATTTCCCTAAGTTCTGAGCTAGCATGCAGGGACCCCGGTTTGTATTATACATAAGCATGAGGCTGGAAAGGGGTAGCACCCAAGATAGCTTACCCCAAGTCTGTGTGTAAGCAGACCACCCCTAGGAAGAAGAGACCTCACCCATACAGGTGGGAGATGCCTGCATATGTGGCCACGTTGTATTCTTTTGGTTGAAAATTCGACAGCAACTCAATTAAAACTAACATAAGAGGCATTTTGGGGCTCCATCCTGGGAGCGTGCAGGAGGTGGCCAATCGATGACACTCTCTCATCATTGAAGTTTCTATCTCTCTCTCCCTCTACCTCTCCCTTCCTCTCTCTGAACTCAATAAAAACATATTAAAAAATAACAATTTTGTGGGGGGGAAACTGTCTTCCTATGAAATGCAAGGGGTTCTTAGGTTACACATGTCCGTTATGAGGTGCCCCTTGACCTCTGCCCTTCATTAGCATCCAGCATCCTGGGGGTGTCTTCTCCCTCCCTGCGGCTCGCTGGGTCTGGCGAGAAGCTGGGCACAGTTGGCTGCACAGAAAAAGCAGCACACGGGTGTGTGGGCCTTTCCCGACCTTCCTGCTAGATGATCAGCCATTGGAGGGTCAGGGCTGCTTACACTTCCTTCTGCCCCCACACACTGAGCACAAGGCTGCTCACGTGAGTGGCTGCTGGGTGACTTAAAATAAACAATGTGTATTAAGTCCCTACATTCTTATGTTCACAACAGCGACCTAAAACTAGACAACGTGATGCTGGATTCCGAGGGCCACATCAAGATCGCCGACTTCGGCATGTGCAAGGAGAACATCTGGGACGGGGTGACCACCAAGACCTTCTGCGGCACTCCGGACTACATCGCTCCCGAGGTGAGCAGGCCCGGAGCAGCCCCCAGCCCTCTGAGCTGTCAGTCCTTAGAGATCACACATGCAGATTCGCTCCCACACACTTAGAGCGCAGGCCCAGATACACCGGGTTTGGGAGAAAGCTTAATCAAACTCAGCAGAACATCCACCGCACACCAGCAAAATCCTCCTTCAGGCTCCTGTGGCTCATGGCCACGTGGTAGCTGCCTATTGTGACATCACAATGTCTGTGAGGCGGGAGAGGTCCCAGGCTGATGTGAGGCAGGAGGCAACAGGTGTGCTGAGCCCGGGAAGACCTGGCCTCATTCCTGTGATGAAGGTACAAATGAAAGGTAAAGGTCGGATTCCAGTCTCCTCTTCCCGAAGGAGACGGTCAGTTACAGAATGAGTTTCCCAACACGTCATGGTACAGACATTTGTGCCAGGTGACACCTTTCCTTCCTCTGGTGCCCAGAGAGGTTACTGTATGTACAGTCTGCTCTTGGTCTCCAAGGAACGGAACTGAGGGTGTGGCCAGCATCCTAGGCTTGTCTGTCACCGGACATGGAACTGGTGACTGGAGGCCCCTTGTAACTGATAACGTGGCTCAATATTTAAAATCTGCATTCTCTTTCACCCTCTCCTAGGAACCTAGTCTACATCACACATGTGCACGCGCGCACGCGTGCACATACATACACACACATGCAGTCGGGTGGGCAGGTGGCCCCTCTATAGTGCACAAGGGGCAAGCTGCAGGCCTGCCTCTGGCTCCTTTCCTTTGTGAGAGGATTGAGTTGGGTTGTCGTGGGGATCCAGTGGGGGTGACGTGCTTCACAAGTGAGCAGACACTTCAGTGAGGAGTCCCCACGGAGCTCCCCGTCCCCTGGGGCTAATGCACGAGCGCATTTCTACCCGCGTGGGAGTGTGGTGGCAGGCGGCGCTAGACCGCTGGACCCAGTGTGTTCAGATGCTCTCATTTAGCAACACAAGCAATCCCTGAATTCCAGGCCCTCCCAGTAATTCAAACATGTGAGGGCATGAGATGTGAAGGCACACGTTCCTCTCACATCCTCACAAAACCCTGCGGCATGGATACTGTTATAAGCTTTGGTAGATGAGGAAACAGACTTAAAGAAGGTAAGTGACACACCTGGGAGTAGCAGTCGGGATCCAAAGTCTGACTGCTTCCCCAGACCTTGACCTTTCACCTTTGCTCTGTCACCTCTGAACCCCTCTGATAGAGTTTTACACCCTTATCAGAAATGTGGATGGTCAAAGGTATTCTGGACACCACTAGGGCTTGGCAATTTGGTAATAAGTATCAAAGCCTGAAACCTGTGTGTAATGTTGGAGCCCTCAAAATCTGCTTCTAGGAATTCATCTTTTTATTTATTTTTTTAAAGTATCACTTTATCTGTGCACTTGAGAAGCTGTATGTAGAAACGTATAACGCAGTCTGTTAAACAGGGAGGGACCTTCCGTCAAACAAATGTGTGGATGCCCAGTCACAGGAGTCTGAACTGCAGCATCGGAGGAAACCTAGCCCATTGGGAACTCATAAAACAGGCTTTGTAGTCAGTTAGTGGGACACTATATAAAGTTAAACCTGAGTACGTTCACGTAGAAATATTAACATGGAAATTTTAAGTGAATAAAGTACTTTATTAATATTTCATACATCAAAGTATTTATGTTTATGTGAAGCACATAGACATAGAGTTTAATCTGTATTCATAGAAGACAATCTAGAAGGAAATAGACCAAATATCAATCATAAGTTTTTCTCTCCACAAAGGATTATGGGTTATTTTAATGGGATTCTCTTAGCTTATCTATATTTTAAAATATATAGTAAAATATTAATAAATGCTATTACGTTTTTTCACTTAAAATTTTTAAATTTTGGTAAATAAAAGCATAAAATTTGCCATCTTAACTATTTCTAAATGTACAGTTCAGTAGTGATTAAGTACATTCACATTGCTGTATAAATGATATTCCTTTTATAATGAGAAATGCAGTTTTTCTTCTAAAAGTTTACACTCTCTGTATTAAAATTGAAAAGAGCACATAGCAAGGGACTCGAAAGGCCACGTGGCATGCACAGGCATTCCCGCGCTGCCCAGGAGACCATCTTCCCGTGGGCAGAAGCAGCTTGCTGACACCAGCTCCCTGCCCACCCACTCAGACAGGGCCTGCACCAGCGAGGGGGACAGTCCGTTTAACCTTTCGCAGTAGGCAGGTGCCCACCCCCATGGCCGTCCACTCTCACTGCGAAGGCGCGTGTTCAGTCTCCGGCCGCAGCACCTGCTCCCCCCTGACGGGCGGCCTTCTGTCTTGCAGATCATTGCGTACCAGCCCTATGGGAAGTCGGTGGACTGGTGGGCGTTCGGAGTCCTGCTGTACGAGATGCTGGCCGGGCAGGTAATTGACTTGGAGTGATTTGTAGGAAAAGTCCTCCCGCCACCATCTGTGTGGCTTCCCTACAGGAGTGTCTGCTGGATCCCCGCTCATCAGTCTAAGCCTCTCTGACTTCATGTCTTGGGGTGACTCTAGTCTTGGCCAATTTGTCTCCTCTTCCCGCTGGAAGCCCTGCAGCCTCCCGTGGGCCGGGGCGGGGGGCTGCTGGCTCCTGTGGGCCGGGGCGGAGGGCGGGGGCTGCTGGCCCCCGTGGGCCGGGGCGGGGGCTGCTGGCTCCCGTGGGCCGGGGCGGAGGGCGGGGGGGCTGCTGGCTCCCGTGGGCCGGGGCGGAGGGCGGGGGCTGCTGGCCCCCGTGGGCCGGGGCGGGGGCTGCTGGCTCCTGTGGGCCGGGGCGGAGGGCGGGGGGCTGCTGGCTCCTGTGGGCTGGGGCGGAGGGCGGGGGGCTGCTGGCTCCCGTGGGCCGGGGCGGAGGGCGGGGGCTGCTGGCCCCCGTGGGCCGGGGCGGAGGGCGGGGGGCTGCTGGCTCCTGTGGGCCGGGGCGGAGGGCGGGGGGCTGCTGGCTCCTGTGGGCCGGGGCGGAGGGCGGGGGCTGCTGGCTCCTGTGGGCCGGGGCGGAGGGCAGGGGGCTGCTGGCTCCCGTGGGCCGGGGCGGAGGGCGGGGGGCTGCTGGCTCCCGTGGGCCGGGGCGGAGGGCGGGGGGCTGCTGGCTCCCGTGGGCCGGGGCGGAGGGCGGGGGGCTGCTGGCTCCTGTGGGCCGGGGCGGAGGGCAGGGGGCTGCTGGCCCCCGTGGGCCGGGGCGGGGGGCGGGGGGCTGCTGGCTCCCGTGGGCCGGGGCGGGGGGTTCCCATGGCCCGGGGCAGGGGGCTGCTGGCTCGGGCGGTGCAGGCAGGACTCCGCTCGCCCACCTGTCCTCTGTCCCACAGGCCCCCTTCGAAGGGGAGGACGAGGACGAACTCTTCCAGTCAATCATGGAGCACAACGTGGCTTACCCCAAGTCCATGTCCAAGGAGGCTGTGGCCATCTGCAAAGGGGTGAGTGGGCTCCTCGAAGCCAGGGCCTCCACACACAGGTGCCCCTCCGAGGGCGGAGGAGGGAGCCTGAGCTCCACCTCTCACCCCTGCCCACCCCCAAGCCCTGGCGACTGCCCCCTCCCAGAGGCAAGGGCGCTTTTTCTCATTCCCCAAACACGCCCTCCAGGCCGCCTGGAGCAGCATCTCGCTGCTGGCGGCTCCAGCCTCCGGCCCACGCGGCACTGCCTGGTGTGGACCGAATGGGCAGGGAGCCCAGAGGCTGGGACCGGGAAGGTGCGAGGTCCGCAGCACGGACCCGGCAGCCATAGCGATGAGTGTGGCTAACACTAAGCGTGAATGGCTTTGTTTGAAGAAAATGTCGGGGTGTGCTGGTCAACGCTGGAAGCTTTTTGGACCTGTGTGTCTCAATCACTTTCGTTTCATCTCTTTAAAAAAACAAAGAAAAAAACCCAAGGATATTTTTTCAATGATTTTTAGAGAGAGTGAAAAGGAGCGAGGAGATTAGGAAGGAGGGAGGAAGGGAGGGAGAGAGAGATTGATGTAAGAGATGCATCAACGGGTTCCCTCCTTCTTGCACCCACTCCGACGGGCTGGGATCGAATCTGTAACCGAGGTACGTGCCCTTGACCAGGAATCGAACCCATGACCCTTCAGACCAAGGGCGACGCTCTAACCACTGAGCGACCGGCCAGGGCTGCATTTTGATGCCCTCTTGTCGCTGTTTGTTAAAAAGCACCGCTCCTCGCGCCCGCCCTGTGCATGTGCCGAAGTGCAAGGGGAGACAGTGCTGAGCTCCTCTGGTTGGCGCGGGAGGAAGTCTGTCTGGTTTAGCCTCAGAGCACCTATTCACCCGCTCCCTGCAGCGCTGCCGGGGCGGAACATGGAGGTGTGAGAAATAATTTAACAGGAGGCCCCTGTGGAGTCGGGGGGTGTGAGCCGGGAGAGGAGCCGGCCTGCTTGGACTGCTTAATGAGCTTCCAGGAAGTAATTACTTGAAACGCGGGCCCATTTGACGAGCATTTCCTTCTGCTTTGCCGCTTTCACGAGGCTCACTGAGAAATACAGCGCTGTCTGCGTGTGGCCTTCTCCTGGTGGGCGGAGAGGGGAAGAGAACGGAACTGCTCTCATCACTGCAGCCGTGATTGCGTAGATCTGATTCTGGAACCCACGTTCATCCTGGTGACCTTTCTAGCCTGAATCCGGGCCTCGGTTAACCACAGGGGTCTCGCTCCGGACGAGCAGCCGGCAGGCACTATTGTCGGGCCTCCTGGCATAAAGCCCTGGGCCAGAGAAGTTTTGCTGGATGAAAAGCCAACAATAGAAATTAGAGTTGGGCCCTGGGTGGTGTTCTCAGTGGTCAGAGTGCCGGCCCACCAAGGGCACGTATCTCCATCCCCACTCTGGCCGGACGCGAGCGGGAGGCAACCAATCCATGTGTCTCTCTCACATGGATGTCTCTCTATCTCCCTCTCCCTCTCCCTCTCTCACGTACCCCCTCTCCTTTCACTCTCTCTAAAAAAAAAAATCAATGGAAAAAATACCCTGGTGAAGATTAACAATAACGGCAACAAGAAGTTAGTTGGGGCTCCTTTTTTAAGTCTTTTTCCCCAGTTACAGTGTCCGTGGATATCACTCTGTGTTCGTGTCGGCTGGGGCCCCGGGGTCCTTCCTCCCCTCACTCCTCAGCCGAGTGCTCTGTGCCACAGGCGGCTCCCCGGGGGTCACTAATCCACCTTCCTCTTCCTCCCGAAGCTGATGACCAAGCACCCGGGCAAACGCCTGGGCTGCGGGCCCGAAGGCGAGCAGGACATCAAGGAGCACGCGTTCTTCCGGTACATTGACTGGGAGAAGCTTGAACGCAAAGAGATCCAGCCCCCGTACAAGCCAAAAGCCGTAAGTAGCCGATGCCTCTGGCTGCTGGCCGCGGGGACACCCACGCTCTCTCCCCGCGCTGTGCGCCCCGTGTCTCAGAGGGCCGTGGGCCGCTACGTTTCCGTGCGAAGCCTCGGGCAGGAGATGAGCTCCGTCCGCACAGCCTGGCCTCTATGAAGGGGGGAGCGGTGGCTGCTGAGGCTGTTTTATCCGTCCGATGGCTGACCGGCCCTCTGGCAGCGTGCCTGCCGGGAGCGGGCTTTGGCGAGCGGGCTCCGCCCTCGCGCAGGTGCGGTCCGGAACCCAGCTTCCCCCTCGCCCTCCCCCGTTTGCCGGCGTCGTCTTCATGCTGCCACGGAAAAGGTCACGGTGTGTCTCCGCAGTAGGTAAACTTCATTCTGAAACCCGCGCCGTCTCCGTCAGTAAACAAGGGGCTCCCCAAAGGGAAGGAATGAGACAGAGGCGGCCCCGCTCAGACGCCAGAGCTCGTGTGGCAGAGGATGAAGGCCGCTCTCCCTGCACACAGGGGCCCCGTCCCCAGGGACCCGCGGCTGCTGGCCAGCGCCGGGTGAGCCGGATCGGAGGTTCCGCTGGGGGTGTCCGTTGTTAGGCTGAGGGGCGAGGAGACCCGGGGCGTTCCCGGGGGCTGTAAAACTGCCGCCTGAGGCTGACAGTGAACGTAAACGTTGTCATAGAAACTGACGGGGTCAGGGACTCGGGTGTGAAGATGATGACATGGGAATGGGACACATTTCATTAATTTTTGGGGCCACTCCACTATGTGCCAGGCGTCGTGGTAGGCACTTCACATGCAGCATCTAAGTCCTCGCAACGACCTGCTCCTCCTTGTAACGGCAGAGGAAGCGGAGACTGCAAGGCCCCTCAGCCGGCGCCATGGAGCCAGGCTCCAGTCTGGCCCGGCGGAGGCACAGGGTGCCAGGGGCAGAGGGCAGGTGGTTTGACGAAGTCTCCCAGTGACCTCATCGCCCCAGTCCTCACGTCCCAGTGATTAGGAGATAGCAGCCCTGGTGAGTCCCGCTTCCCTCTGGACACCGCCTGGTGCTCAGAGGCAGGCCCCGCAGGCAGCCGGTCCCGCTGGACCTGATGGCTGCAGACTTCTCTGTGGATCTCCCATCAGCCCCCAGGACTGCCTCCCTGGGTCCCGGCGTCACCCAGGGCCTCTGTCTCTGCAGAGCGTCCTCCAGACACTTGCAGATGCTGGACTTATGCTCCCGAATCTTGAGGTTTTCAGGCTGAGCCCCCCTCCTCCCAAGAGACACACACACACACACACACACACACACACGCGCGCGCACATACACACACACTCACACATACATGTTCCTGCAAGTCCCCCCTCCTCCCAAGACACACACACACACACACTCTAATATATACATGTATCTGCAAGCATGTCCCATATGACATCACCTCCAAGTGCTTGTTGTCCTCCGGGTAATCAATACGCCTCTAAGACACACAGGACTGAGCTCAGTATTCCTGACAGTGTCTGGCTCTCCACAGTACAGCGGGCCCAGCACTCTTGGTGACTCCAGCGATGGTGGGCGTGGATGGTGAGCGCCCCTCGGCCCTCGGCTCATCCTCTGTAGCACAGCGAGGGCCGTCTGTGCACAAAGCGCTCAGTGTGCGCCTGCACAGGGCAGCGGGTAATGAGTGTCAGTGTCTCCGGCGCAGCCTCTCTGAGGGCGCAGCGTTGTGTCCTGCTGATGCGATTCCTCCGAGTGTCCGTGTGTCCACTTGCGGCCGGAGAGGGGCCTGCAGGTCACCGGCTGCAGCGTGGCCCTTGTCACAGCATTTGGGAAGAGGTCAAAGGGCGGCCTGGAAGAGAAGAAAGGGTGTCTGTAGAGGAAACTGGAGGTGGACACACGTCACTGGAGTTTTGTGGGGACGTTCGTGACGTCTCAGGCCGGGGACCTCCTCCGTGGGCCAGAGGAAGAGTGCAGTCGCTCTCATCCCCCCGGCTCTGAACCCAGCATCGGTGGGGTTCAGGCTTTGGTTGTAGGGCAGTGGTTTTCCCTGTGGCCTCCCGACCAGCCCCGCAGGGTCAGCACCACCGGGAGGTCAGGGCCTGTGAGCGGGGCCCCTGGAAGCTGCTGCCCTCAGCTGTGATTGCCGTGCAGAGGGAGAGCCGAGGCCGGAGCCAGCAGAGGCCAGGAGTGTGGCCGGAGGGGATCTGTCAGAGGAGGACGCTGCTTCCCGCCCCGTCTGGGTCACAGCTCAGCTGCCTCCGAGGCAGGCGGGCAATGGGAGCGTGGTCAGGGGAGGGGCCCGGGGCCGACCACAGAGCGCCAGCTTCCGGAAAGGCTCCTGGGTGTTCCTTCCCCGTGGCCAGCAGAAGGCCTGGCGGCCACACCAGCTACTGAAGTCTTTCCCGTTAGCCTGGCAGCAGCGCTGCCTGTGCCTGGCCTGAGGTGCCCTGTGCGGAGAGGCCGTCTCGTCAGCTTTTTTATGTGAAATCTCACTATTTTTTTTATTTTATATCTTTGCAACAGATTCTATTTTTTGTTTTTATAAAACATTTTATGGATTTCAGAGAGGAAAGGAGTGAGTGAGATAGAAACATCCATGATGAGAGAGTCATTGATCAGCTGCCTCCTGCACACCCCACACTGGGGATCGAGCCTGCAACTGGGGCATGTGCTGTAACCGGGAATCCAACCGTGACCTCCTGGTGCATAGGTCGAGCCATGCCAGCTGAGCAACAAATTTTTAAAAATTAAACACAATTCAGCCAAATAGCCGCCTGGGGCTGCGGATTATGAGTGTGCGGCCTCTGGGTGGTGATTGCTCAGTCGGCTGACATTTAGTCGGTTCCCATTGGTTCTGGTTATTCCCACCGAGTTCACTCTCACTGGCCCACTATTGACGGTTCCTGCTAAGCAATAATGATATAGAATGTCAGCCCAGTGTCTGGCCCGCAGAAGGTGCTGGGAAAGGGTAAAGCTCCTGTTCCTGTGGGGAGTGAAAAAGGGTGCAGTCGTCAGTGATGGTCAACAGGATCCCTCGGCGGCCGCGCCGTTGACGCGGGTTTCGCTGGCCAGTGCCTTCCGTTCCCTGGCGTGGGCCCAGCAGGGACTGTCACGTACAGCGACTGGACGGGGCTCTACACTTTGGGACGTCTGCCTCAGCCCTCGGGGGGCAGGCACTGGCCTCGATCCTTGGACTGAATCAGAAACGCTGATCACGAATACGCCCACTCATTTGACGCAGCTGAGCACGTGCCTTTCATGTCTGCGTGCTAGCCTGGACCCCCTTTAGGGATCTCACTGCTCCCCTCCCCACACCTTCCCGGGCTCAGGGCGAGCGCCATGCGCCTCGTGGGAACGGAGACGCGTGCAGTCTGTCTGTGACTGATCCTGACCGCACAGTAAGGTGGGGAGGGAAACGGTGGGCAGTGGCAGGAGTGCATTCGGACGCGGTGGAGGCTGCAGACAGCACAGCCCTGGGGGTAAATTATGGAGGCCTCAAGTGCTCCCAGGGCCGCCTCTGGTGGCCGGGGCTGTCGTGTTGCCTTTGGCTCCGAATACGCTGACTTCAGGTTCATTTTCTCCATCTTTTACTAGAGGCCCAGCGCACGAAAGTCATGCACAGGTAGGGTCTCTAGTGGCTGCTGGCAGCTCTGTGCTCTGGTGAAGCGGAACCATTTCACAGAGCCTGGCTGACCCACGTTATTGTTTTTGCAGAAAGTAGAGTTATTAATAACACGAACGGAGCACCTGTTTTCTGGCCTGGCTCTGCTGTTCCCTGTGTAAGTCCCTGCACTGAGCCGAGTGCTCCCAGTCACTCTTACCGCATTTCCTTCTCCCCGCCTCCAGGGGCAGGTGCCTCACCCGCCCGCGAGGGCATGCACTTGGGAGGGCGGCTCCTGGGAAGAATGGCCCCTACCTCTTAGGCAGCTTTCAGCTCCCGACGCCTCGGTGTTCCAGTGTTTGTCCAGACTCCCCTCAGCGTCCCATGCTCCCCCAGCACGTGACCGTCCAGCTACTGTCCAATTCAGGCTGATGGCTTCTGTGCCAGGGGACAGTTCAAGGTCGTGCACCTGGCAAGTGATGGGAACTTACTGGCCTGAAAACCTGCCCATCAAACCATCCGGGGAGCGTGGCATGCGGCTTTCCCATCGGGCTCCATGGGCGAGTGGGTGGGAGAGACAGCAACGGCTCCAGGCTTTCTGTCCGGAACCACTCTGGCTACTTGTTAGTCACTGAAGCACCAGCCGGTACTCGGAGTCCGCTCTCTGCGCGCACACACACACACACACACACACACGCACACACACCCCATGCCTGGCCGGGGTGCCGCATTCCGGAGGCCGCACGTCTGGCTCCACCTGCAGTAACGCATCCTGGCTGCCAGCCTGAATTGGACAGTAGCTGGACGGTCACGTGCTGGGGGAGCATGGGACGCTGAGGGGAGTCTGGACAAACACTGGAACACCGAGGCGTCGGGAGCTGAAAGCTGCCCAAGAGGTGAGGGCCACTCTTCCCAGGGGCCACCCTCCCAAGTGCGTGCCCTCTCGGGAGGGTGATGCACCTGCCCCTGGAGGGGGCGGAGAAGGAAATGCGGTAAGAGTGACTGGGAGCACTCGGCTCAGTGCAGGGACTTACACAGGGAACAGCAGAGCCAGGCCAGAAAACAGGTGCTCCGTTCGTGTTATTAATAACTCTACTTTCTGCAAAAACAATAACGTGGGTCAGGCAGGCTCTGTGAAATGGTTCCGCTTCACTAGAGCACAGAGCTGCCAGCAGCCAGCAGCCAGAGACCCTACCTGTGCGTGAATTTCGTGCGCTGGGCCTCTAGTAAAAGATGGAGAAAATGAACCAATCTGGAAGTCTCCCAGTCTCCATGAGCATGTATATGACATGCATACAGATATTACACACACGTTTGTGTACATAATTTACAGAAAGGGAACACATTGTATGCACTGTGAGTATTTAGTTATATGGAGCGATTCCATTTAATATTCTTCTATCTTCTTCTAACGTTTAAAAGGGTTTTGCATGGTCAGGCATCAAATAGACATGTCATTATTTATTTAAGCTTATTCCCTATCAGTCGATAGTTGATTTCCAATCTTCTCCCCTTTCTAACAGTTACTTGGTGAGCATCCTTTGTCTTGATGGGTAAGCCCAGGAGTCCAGGAGGGTCCAGGAAAGGCCTCCTGGAGGAAGCGCCCCCTGTTGGAGGCAGCGGGGTTGCCTAGGAGGCAGCTGGGGTCGGAGGCCCTGCTCCTGGGAGGAGACAGCCCGGCAAAGGCTTGGAGGAGAGAGGGTGTGTGAGGGAGGGCTCCTGGTGCTGGCAGTTCCTTACAGCTGAGGAGGGTGTGCGGGACACACACACACACACATGGATGGCCAGGCTAGGTCCTGAGCGTCCCGCAGCCCCGCTCAGGAGTGTGGGCCTCGGGCAGCGGCGGCTCCCGCTGATGGAAGCGGTGACATATCCAGGCTGGAGTCTGAAAGATCCCGCGGCTGCTGGGCCTTTGCCAACTCCTCATTTGACAGCTAGACGCAGAGCTGTTATTAACACAATGAAACAGAAATTAGAGAATCGGAGAAGAAAAATGGTCACGTGGAGCAGCTCACAGACAAATGATTCAAGCTGTCTAGGTTCTCAAACTCAGGGCGGCACGATCGAACAAGTCGCAATCCTCTCTTCCTCTCCCCCCGAGGAGTGCCATCTGTTTACGTAACCCGCTCTGGCCCCATCGCTGCTCAGGAGCCCCGGGGCTGCATCTGGGGTTTCTTGGGGAGCAAAGCAGGGATGGAGTACCCGCCAGGAGCAGGAAGCAGGTGTGTCCACTCTGCCCCTGTGCTTGGACCCAGCAGGCAGAGCGACCGACCAGCTGTGCCTCCGGAGGGCGCGGTCTCCTTAGGAGCCGCTGAGGCTAACAGGCAGTGACAGCTCCATTTCAAACCACGGCAGCACCCAGGGGGCTGTGACCTGCCAGCCCTGAGCTGTGTGTCAGCAGGGACATCACGCACCCTGCATGGTGCCCCGGCCTGCCCGGTCCTTGCCTCTTCCTGCTGCCTCCCTGAAAGGATGTCATTGCCCTCAGAGGCCCGGGCAGCGATGGCGAGGCGGCCGTCCAGCTGCCAGGAGCTGTTTCCTGTTTCCCATCACACCCTCTGGGGGACCCAGCAGAGCAGCAGGCTTCTGCTTTCGATGGGAAATGGATGGTTTTAAAAGAAAAATGGCCCCTGAAGACTCTGTGTCTCAGTGAACATGCTTCCTAGACAGGCTGGTGTGGGTCCCCACGCCCAGGCCAAGAGAAACACTGCAGGTCTGTCTGCCTTTTAACTTGCCATCTCTGCCCCCAATCCCTGTGCGCACCTCTGCCCCTTCCTCCCCACCACTCTCGCCACCACCTCTCTCCTGGGGAGGGTGTCGAGTTCCTGCCTCTGCCATCAGTCCAGCTCCTGCTTCCTGTAGCCCTGACAGCAGCGGGGACTCCGCTCGCTGTCACGTCTCCATGGGACTCAGACTTACCTTAGTGCAACTCAAGCTCGCTCTCCCCCCAGCTATGCTCTGCCCCTTGTGTGCCCCACTCACTGAGAAGCTCTGACCAAAAGTCTTGGGATCACTGATCAGTCCTCTCTCCCTCTCACCCACATCCAACCCATCAGCAGACATTGTGACCTCCAAATTCAGAGCAGGTCCCCAAACCTCATGCACCTCCCAGCGCCCCACGACCACCCGCCTCAGCGCCGCGTCTCCTGTCCGCATCGCTGCAGCAGCTCCTCACGGCCTCTCTGTCCCCCCACCCTCCCCGCAGGCAGCGCTCAGGGGCCTCCAGGGCGTGAAACCCTCTGTCCTCGTGGCCGGCGAGGTCCGGGGCCTGGCTCCTAGCGCCCTCTCTGAGCCCTCCCCTGGGCCCTGGCCTGGCCCGCTGGCCTCCTTGCTGTGTGGTGGCTCTGCCGTGGGACCTCCTGCCTCCGGGCCTTTGCACCTGCAGTTCCTTCTGCCTAGAATGCTTTTCCTCCCCACGTCCAGGGAATCCTCCCTCCCGTCACGGAGGTTCGTGCTCAGCTCAGGTCCTCAGGCATTGTCGAAATGGCATTGTCTTCCCTCTTCATCTCGGATCTGGCTTTAGTTTTCTTAGTATCACTTACCGCTTTCTAGCATTAAAACACTTATTTACAGTCATCTATCCATCTGTTGGTTGCCTCCCTCCCTCCCCCTCCTCCCCTGTAATAGAATATAAGGCCCACAAGGTAGGGATATGTTTATCATAGTTTATGATCTGCACATAGTAGATGCTCAGTAAATATTTCTTGGCTGAGAAAATGGATAAAGAGAGAATCTGGACAGGAGTCCTGCCCACTCTGCTCTGATCCTGAGGACCCATCTCTGTGTTGGCGTTTCCCCCATCACCAGTGCACCATCCCTTAGATCTCATGCTATGGTGGAGGTGGCGGGGTCACTTCTCGTTTTCTGAGGGCTGAAGCCACGATACGGAAAGCGGGAGCAGTGAGCTCGGGATAACACCCTCTCAGGCTGACGCAGCCTTTGGGAGTGACGACTGTTTCCTCGAAACCTCCGTCCTGGAGGCGCCCGTGCAGCGCGTGTCTCCCCGGAGGGACTGCAGTGGGGACAGAAGACCAGAGCTTACGGCGTTTACGGCCGGGGGGCACGCGCATTGTCTCCCGTCACCGCCCTCACACCCTGTGAGCGGAATGCGGTGGGCTGGTTCCCTTTAAAGAGCACGCCTGGAGTTGCACAGCTAGTGGCCCAGTGCCTGGATTCGCACCCATGTCTGCATGGCCGCCTCCTTCCCAAACCCCACGGAGCCCTGCCGAGCTCAGTCCCTGCACACGCACAGGTAACTCTGCTATGACTGGAGCGCTTGACAGGAGCTTGCCCTCCGTCCTGCTCAGCTCCCTCCTTTTCCGGGAGGTAGGCAGCTGCTGGCGCCGGTCAGAGCCTCCCTGCTTGGCCTCTCGGAGGTGTTTCTCCCACAGCAATGCCCTTTGTCGTCCTTCCTCTCGTCCCCCAGCCTGCCTGGTGTTCTCCCTCCTGGTTGCGCTCCACCGCCCTGCGTTAGGGGCAGTTTTCTCAGGGATCCGTGCCAACCAGGTACCTAACCTGGGCGGCGATGTGTGGGAAAGGCAGTGTGAGCACAGCACCCGCAGTGCCAGGGCCCGGCCTGGAGACTGCTCCGGTTTCTTCCTCCGCACCCTCCCTTTTCTCTCTTTGAAAACTTCTCTCCAGGGCCTCCCTCCTGCCCCCAGCACCTGTACCTCCACCCCTCACCTCTCAGAGCTTCCCTACCCACCAAGGCACCGCGTCCCCAACAGAAATGTCCTCCTTCTGCCCCTCCCTTCCTCTCTCATTCAAACCAGAGACCTCACCGTCCCCACCCGGCTTCTCCTCCCTCCTCCCCACCCCACCACTCGGCAACGTGCCAGGCTGTCGGCCGTTCTTGTAAAATGGAGCCAAAGGTGGGCTCTGAGGCAGGCAGGCCGGGCGCATGGCAGCTCGTGTGCCTGGCCTCCCTGGCTGCTCTGGCCCAGAGCAGGACACCCAACCCGCCTCGTAGCGTCACTGGGAGGTTAATAAGATCCTGCATGTAAAGAGGGTTCTAGGTCCGGCACAGAGTGAGGGCATAGCGGATGTTAACTGTCATAATTCAACTGCTGCCACCGCCGTGTTCCCAGGCTGGGGCTACATGACTTGAGCCAGCGTGCGAATGGGCTTGACTGCTGAACAAACATCAGATTCAGTGACTTCTCCCTTCTCATTGGGGGGGAGCTAGCATGTGTTATACCACATGCACACACACGTGTTATAACTGCCTTGGACCGGGACCTTTGCACATAGAAGGACCGCGGGGTGGGTGAGAAAAGGCGATGGTTTTCTCTAGAGCCTCACCAAGCTCTGGTTTGTATTCCCTGGCCCCCCCCCCCCCACACACACACACCCTCCCTTCCGACGGAGAGAGATGGCTGCTACTCCTGGCACTGGACCAGGGCCCCGTGGGCCAGGCTGTGGGCACCACACCCAGGGGTGGGATTGGTCTCTGTTGGATGGAGCTGGTAAACTCCAGTACCTGCTGGGCTAGGGGATGTCCGTTGTCCCTGATTGAGAGCCTTCGGACCGCACTCTGAGGGACCTGCTGCGAACATCTCCCGGTGACGTATGAGCCGGCCATTTGCAGCCTTTGCCACATGAAACATCTCCGGTGCCTTAATTCATCTCTTTCCATAGATGAGCCTGGCTGGCTGGGGGAGGGGGGGTGTGGTGAGAAACATGGCTCATGCCTGCAGCCCTGCCATCTCACGCTTCTGCCACAAGCTCCTGACTGCCCGGAGGACTCCGAGGCAGCTCACCAGCTACAGAAACTGAAGGTCAGGAGCCCAAGGGCATTCCTGAAGGTCATGAGAATTCTGCATTTTCTGTTGCTCTCGTTTCTGGTCATTGAGACGGCCTCTGTGAGGTGGTGACGGGAAGGGACGGAGAGACCCACATCCGGTTTTGTTTCCCTGCTTTGTGTTGTTTCACCCACCACAAGTCCTTTTCTTCCCCTCGTAGTGTGGGCGCAATGCTGAGAACTTCGACCGGTTTTTCACCCGCCATCCACCCGTCCTCACACCTCCCGACCAGGAAGTCATCAGGAATATTGACCAGTCAGAATTCGAAGGATTTTCCTTTGTTAACTCTGAATTTTTAAAAGCTGAAGTCAAGAGCTAAGTAGATGTGTAGACCTCCGTCCTTCGTTTCTGTCGTTCGAGCTCGACGGCCATCATGGTGACATACTTTTCATTGCCACGTCACATCCATGTTTATTTGCTGATGAGACTGACCATGTCCCGGAACCCAAATGTCCTCAGCGGTTTGCAGCATCTCTATGAGGCGGGATTATGCAGGTGCCTGTCCAAAAGGCTGCATAATTAGCTCATTGCCAAGTCCTCTCCCCGCGGTCCTCCTGCATGCCGGCCAGGCAGACCCAGTGGGGACAGAAATGCCTGCTTTCTTCTCCTTTCTCCTGCATGGCCCTTTTACACCGTCTGCCCCTCCACCACCCCGTCTCGATTCTGCCGCCCAGGGAGTGGATGGCCGCGGCCCCCCGCTTCGCACCGGAGCCTGGCTGGTGTCCAAGGATCTGGTTGCTTGGCCTCAGAGGCAATTTCTCTGTTCTTTCTGCCTCGGAGGCACCACGTGCTCTGAAAAGAACATGCTACAAATAAATTTTTTTTAAACTCAAAGTAAAGAAGATTGTCTAAGTCCTTCTAAGTCCTTTGTAAAACTGCCTTTACAAAGTTTCTGCCTAAAAGCACCTCAGGGGGTCAAAAGACAACCAGCTTGGGTGCTACCTCAGTGCTGTCACCTCTGGCCCGATGCGCCCCTGCTCACCTCACCCCCAAACTGCTCGGAAAGGGCATTTGCCGTTTCCTGAGAGACATGGTCACTCTCGCACGGTCCCAGGACCGGGATTCACATCACATTTCAAACTTTATTTGCTTTGGGGCTTTATTTCTGTTGTTGTTCAAATGCAAAACAAACAAACAAAAAACCAACTCATTTTGTTACTACATGGTTCGAAAAATGTGTCCAAACGTTCCTGACCACGTGGCCAGCCTGGATCTACAGAGGAGGCTGCTCCGGGCCCGCAGGCGCCTGGGCGGCGGACGGGGCTGGGTAGCTGGCTAAGTGCCCGGAGAGAGATGCCATTTCCAGAGGCGGTTTCACAAGATGAATGTGGAATGTCCGTTTGTATCTGGATGTGTCATGTGCCATTTTCCTTCTAGCATTGAGATGCGATAGTAAAGACAGGAGCCGAGTGCCGTTTCACGGAGAACGGCCTTGAAAAATGTGGACCCAGACTGCAGAGTGGCCTCCGAGGCTTCGGGACGGAGGAACTGAACCCAGAGCTTAACCTCAGGCCCGCGCTGAGCCAGGCAGAGGCCCAGGCTGTGGCCGGTCAGGCCCCTGGTGCCTGTGGTGGGGTGGGGAGAGCTGACCAGGGCCCTCGAATGATATCAGAGCGCACAGCCCACATCAGGGGCCAGCGAGAAGCATGGCCCACACTCTACTTTCTCACCAAAATCGCTGCTCCTCCCAGCTCGGACTAAATGTCCTCTGTAGCCAGCAGCCTTGTGAGGCCCCCGAAGCCCGAGGAAAGCCTGTGGCAGGAGAAACCCCATTTCTGTCTAACCGATGAGGACAGCAGTGGTTCCCATCCCCTGCCTCCACTGTTCTCAGGCCCAAAGAGATTCTCATCCCCAGTTGGGTGATTCCGGAAGCTCCAGGGCTTCTGAGAGACCGTCCAGGGAACTTGACAAAATCCTCGAAGACTTCTCATCTTTAGGAAAACCTGCCCCTCATCCCTCTGCCTCTTGCTGCTGCTCACAGCCGGCTGCGGGTTGCCCCGCGGCTGCCTGCGGTAGCAATCTGGACCTCGGGGAAAGCAAATTGAGTTTCAGAGGGATCTTTGGGAGGCAAGGGGAGGGAAATTGGGGCAGAACCCCTCACGTAGCCGCTGGGGAAACCATCTGCAGGGAGGACGTGACTTGCCCAAGGTCAGCCAACTGGGACGCACACCGGCTCCTGACACTCGGCACCAGACCCGTTCTGCTCTGTAACTGGCATCGGAGCAGCGCCCACCAGCAGGCAGGTCAGCTGAGGTCCGACCTGTCCTTTCCTGGGTTTGCCCTCAGGAAGGAAAACACCATGAGAAACTCTGCGTGGCTGACAAATGACCCAAGACACTTCAGAGACCACTGTAGCGGGTGGGTGGGTGGACAGATGATAGATAGATGATAGGAAGAATTATTGTACATGTACACTGTGCTCAACATTCCCCAAATTGCTGCCATCATTTTCCAGAAGCTTGATAGCTTGCAGATATATGACCGCAAGCCCAAGCCTCCGATGCCCTAGGCCTGGCCAAGGCCGGCAGGAGCCTGTGGGCGCCGAGTCCTGAGTCAGCCCGCGGTCCCCTCTCCCATCAGCACTTCCGTGCACCGGAGACCGGGTGGCGAGCCTGCCACGCACAGCGTCTCCGGGGACACGTGGCACATTCATCCGGGAAGAAAGCCATTCGTTCATTTTTCCTGCTGTGCGTGTATTCCGCCCCCCGTGCCGTCATCAGCGTCGTTTATTGAGCACAAGGCTTACGCTGGGTGGCATGAGCACCGTGGGGAAGCATAGGGTGCCGTCCAGAGGGCAGTCTTGACGCAGCCATGGAAAGCACGCTGAGAGCAGAGGGTAGCAGTCTCTGGGTTGGTCGGGGAAGTTCTGGGAAGAGAGACCGAGTCCTCAAGAGGCTTTGGTTGGGCCTTTCCTGTAGGACGCGGTTTGAGCGGAAGGAGAGGTGCAGCCGCGTCCCCAGGAGCAGGTTTCTGGGCTAGTCCTCAAGAGCGCGGGCGGGGAGGTAGGCAGGGCGGCTGGGCGGGTTTCCTTCTATTGTAGAAGCCAGCAGCACTGTGCCCGTGCTGAAACAGATGTGGGTCGCGGGACTAGAGCAGACAGTCACCGTGTGGAGCGAGGGCCTGGATCTGTTCTCAGTTCTGAGTCCCGAGTCTCACTCAGAGTCCCTTCCCGGCCCTCGGGGGACGCCGTCCCACAGTACACGGCCCCGCTGCACAGGCCTGGTACCTCTGACACAGCCCGAGATTTCCCAAAAAAACTAACAGTAGGGAGAATGAAAAACTAAGCCAGGAAATCCAAAGAAACGGAAACAGGTCAGCCATAGCTAGCTGTCCACCGGGATCCAAGCCCCTCTTCATTCCTAACCGGCCCTCTTCTAAGAAAGAGGCCTGTGATCACGTGACTCAGGACGTTACGGCAGGCCAGAGGGATTCACAGCCTCCTCGGTGAGTGCGACTCTCATGAGGCTTCGAGCCTGTCCACTCGGGAGTTGTCCCAACAGAGAGGCCACTCTCCCAGCTTCTCGGCTGAAACCCAGGGTCACTGTCTGTGGAGCCCGGCCTTTGGGATGAAGTCCGAAGCGGAAGCCCTGTTCGGGCCACATGGCTGTTTGGAGCGGCATGAGTCACCAGCTCAAGGAGGAAGGGCTTTCAAAATTGGGCTGGTGGGAAAGGACCCTCTGTGGAAGCCGAGGCAGGGAAGGGAATATGGGGTCAGCGTTACCAGAACAGCCCTGCAAGGAGGCAGCTGCCTGCCCTCTAGCCCCAGCCTTACCCCATATACCCGTGGGACCCAGGCCTGAAGGGGTTCACCCGGGGCTCCAAATGGACAGTGAGACACCAGTGGCTCAATGGCCCCGATCCCACTGTTTTCGCTATAGAGGGAAGGCTCTGGCTGGGGAGCAGCTGGAAGGAGGGAAAAGTGAAGAGGCTTATCCTTAATGGGGCCTTCACTCGTGGATGCATGCATTCCACAAAGAGTGTGGACAGCCTGCTGTGTGCCGAGCCCATTGGTGGCCCTGGGAACACAAAGGTGAGAAACAAGCCAAGGCCCCGCCCTCCTGGAGAGAGGCCACAGAAGTCCGTTTCCGATTGTAGCAAGTGCCATGCAGATCATCAGGGCACCCAGTGTGGGGTGGGCCCAGAGGGGCGTGCACGGCAGGAGTGAAGGAAGAAGTGCACTCGAGCTTCTCTCTGAACACAGGCAGACCCCGGGACAGGCAGGCGGGACACAGGCAGAGCCCAGGACAGGCAGGACGGGACACAGGCAGAGCCCAGGACAGGCAGGACGGGACACAGGTAGGAGGGGCCAGAGCAGAGGGTAGAGCGTGGCAGGAGATGCCCATCCAGAGAACAGCTCCATGGGCATCCTCCAGCCGTTGCACTCATGCTGCACACACTGAAGTGTACCCTGATTTCCTGCTCACTCCTACGGCCACACACATGGCCAGAGGAGGCGAGACCTCTGTGGGGATGCTTTTCCCATCTCAGGGGAGTGGCATAAAGGGGAATGTTGGTGAACGGGCCTTTTGCAAAGGGGCATGAGCGCAGGAATGAGAGATCCTTCTCAGTCGGTGCCCATTGGAGGCTGCACCTAAAACCTGGATGGTGATTGGTCAACGTTAGCAAGTCAGTCATCTTCACTGACCCTCTCCTCTGCCATGGAGCGTCTGTCAGTGGCATCCTGGTGGTCCTGTGACGAACCAGCTCGCAGGCTCGCTCCCTAGTCAGAGGGGCTGAGACGAGGCCTGACGGAGCAGTGTGGTCAGCAACATCACTCACCCGCTGGGTGGTCTTGGGCAAGTCACCGCACCTTCCCATGCCTTGGTTTTCTCACAGGTCACAGCGTGAGGGGGCGGGGGAGACTCCAGCTCCCTCTGCCCGTGGGTAGAGAGGGCAGGAAGAGAGGGCGGGCTGACAAAGGCCCGAGCCTGTCTCAGATGTGGGAGTCAGCCTGCACTCCTCCCTGGCGAAACCTGCCCCGAATCGGGGGTTCCTGCCTGCCCCCCATCCCAAGCAATGCCAGATTCACTAGGAGAAGAGACTTTTGCTTGTTTTAAGGCTGCCCTGCAGACCTGACGTTAAGCTTTGGGTTTTGTTTCTTGTAGTTTGTCACTAGATACAGGCTCTATCGCCCTGGGAGAGCCCTCTGGTAGCAGGCCCGCCCCGGAGGTGGGATGGTGGGCTCCTACCCTCTGGGGCTCACCTGGGCTGCCGCAGGGAGTGTGGGTGGGGGCGCTCCTTCCTTTCTGAAGCAGTGGCCGCCTTTCCCACGGCGCTCTGCCGTGGGGAGCTGCTTGCTTGTGCAGCGGTCCTCCTTCCTACAGGAAGGTCATCCTGGCCACAGGGGTCACATGGGGTGGTGTGCTAGGGGACACTCCACCCAATGACTGACTCTATGACATCACACATGGCGAGAAGCAGTTCCCAACTCAATTCAGCTCAAAGCCCCAAACAGAGCACACCCCGCTCTAGGACAGGCCTCAAAGAAATCCAGCGTCTCATTCCCTTAGAAACGCTGCATGCTTTCTCTCCGAAGCCAGCACAGGCCGCGACAGCAAGCTGGGCGGTCGCCCCTGCTCTCTGCGGGGCACCCACCGGCCCCAGAGGTCGTCAGCTCCCGGTGGCTGCCATCTCGGTCGCGTTGCCCTCTGTGCCGTGTTAACGTGTCTGCTTTCCATTTGGCAGAGAGACAAGCGAGACACCTCCAACTTCGACAAAGAGTTCACCAGACAGCCTGTGGAACTCACGCCCACGGACAAACTCTTCATCATGAACTTGGACCAAAATGAGTTTGCCGGCTTCTCCTATACTAACCCAGAGTTTGTCATTAACGTGTAGGCGAGCACCCGCTCCTCGCTGAGCTCGGCGGCCGGACTCCAGGCCGAGTGTGTGCATTGATTCGTCTTCCAGACCGTGGTGCTCCTGCCGGCGTTCCGTGTGGAGCTGGCCGGGGGCTTCTCTTTGTATGTGTAGCTTGCTAGTTTGTTTTCTACATTTGAAAAATGTTTAGTTTAGAATAAGTGCTTTATCCAAGTAGAGAGGAACAGTTTTCCAGACTTCCCGAAACTCATCAAATGAACAGACATTGTCAAAACCAAATGCTTCAGTATTTGTAATTTTTAAAATCAGAAGCTGGTGTTCCTAGT